AGACGTTTTCATTCTTAACCTAGTCATCAGAGAGTCAACAGGTTTCGACATATGCCAGGAGGTTGACGACCACAGCTCCTTCCTCAGGGGGAGGGGCTTCTTCGGGAGACTGACCAGGCAGACTTTAGACTGGGAGCTGGGCAACAGACATTCCCATTTGAGTGCTCTCAGTGGTGGGCTCTGATCTTGAATAAATCATGTCATCTCCCCTGGGCCTGGGGGTGTTCCCTTGAAAATGAGGGCTTTGGACCAAATGATCTTGAGGGGTCTTTCCAGGTCCTTTTATGCTCCAAGAGTCTATGATTGTCCTCTTATAAAGGCATCACATGATTAAATCGCACAAATATAGATAGTAAGAACTAGGAATTCACATGAGGGAGAGAGGTAATTGTGAATTCTAATGGTCAGAAAGGGCTTTGCCAATAAGATAGAAAGGGAGGTGGAGAGTTTAAATGTCTAAGAAGAGGGAGGCGAGGCTCACCTGCCCAGCGGAGGTGTTGATGTAGGAAACGGCAGATTTGGTTGAGGATCTCGAGGTTCTTGGTGACATCCACGTGCGAGCTAATCAGAGACCCCGGGGTCTTTCTCGCCCCCTTCCTTTTTTGTGCCATAAATATTTGTGACATGCCACACATGGTTTCTGTTTTAGACACGTGCCCTGAAGAAAACCTTCTTATATCAAACTAATATAACCACTTATTGATGACTGAATTTATCACTTCCAGGTCCCTTCCCTCTGGGTCCCTGTTATCAACTAATGTTCTCAGGGAGGTGGCTTTGTGTGCCGCCTTCCACGTTAGATGTGCTCCTGCTCTCCTCGGCTTCCACCTGGGAAGATGCCAGGGTTTAGTTTTGGGAACTTCTTTTGTTGTACACAGTAAAAATCTCCAAAGTTTTCCTCTACAGTTCTAGTGAATTCTGCTTGAGAGTTAAAAAACAAAAAACCTAAAAACCAAGTCCCATATTTGTTCAGTCAGTTCTTTAACTCCACCATCATTTAAGTACTTACTCTCTGTCATGCACTGGGTCTTCCTTTGTAAACAAAACAGACCTGGTTTCTGCCCTCAGAGCTTTTCGTCAGTGCATAGATAAATGTAAGATGATCAGTGTGATGGATGGTCTGAGTGAAACAGAACAGGATGGCACAAGAATAGTAGGGGCACCTATTTTAGATTTGAGATTGGGTGACTTCTTTTAGAAAGTGGAAGATGAGAAGAAGCCAGTGAGGGAAAGGGTTTGGTTGGAGTTGGGGAGACAAGTCTGTTTCAAGCAGAGGGAAAAGCCAGTGCAAAGGCCCTAAGGCAGGAAAGAGCTTATAATGTTGAAAGAACAGTAAGAAAGGTCAGAGGGGCTATTGTAAGTAACAGGAGAGGGGGCTTGATATGAAGATAAAGAAACAGGCCTATTAAGGTCATTTAAGGCCTTTTGGTGAAATAAGAAATTTGGATTTTATCCTATATTCAAAGGAAATCAATTGTTGGATTTTAAAGGAGGGAGCAACACAGGTAAATATAGGTTTAATGAATCATTCTGGCTACATTGTGGAGAATGGTTTGGATGGGGCAGGAGTCGAGGTGGCAAGTTCAGTTTTAGGGGCTTGTTGTGGCTTAGGTGGAAGACAGCACTGGCTTGAACCTGGGGAGAAGTGATGGAACTTGGCAGTGGCTGGGATGGGAGGAAGTGTCAAGGTTGGCTCCTAACTTTTGGCTCTGTCATCAGAGTGGAAATGCTGTTTACTGAGATAAAGTGTAGAAACTTCTTAGAATGTATTGGGACACTTTATACCTAAGTAAGTAAAGCTAAAGGCATAACTTTTTCTTTGAAATGTGAGTCTTAGCAGATTTTACTGTACTTGTTCTGTAGATGAAAAGGATGTATTTGGCAGCTTTTTAACAAAATTTAAACATACTCTTGCTATATGATTCAGCAGCCACGTTCCTTGGTATTTACCTAAGTGAGTTGAAAACTTACATCTGCACGAAAGCCTGAACATGAATGTGTGTAGCAGCTTTACTCATAATTGCCAAAACTTGGGAGCAACCAAGATATCCTTAAAGTAAATAGGTAAATTGTGGTACATCCAGACAATGGGATATTAACACTAAAAAGAAACGAACTATCAAGTCTTGAAAAGACATGGAGGAGCCTTAAATACATATAGCTAAGTGAAAGAAGCCGATCTGAAAAGGCTATATGACATTCTGGAAATGCAAAGCTATGGAGACAGTAGAAAGATCGGTGGTTGCCAGAGGTCAGTAAGAAGGAAGGGATGGAAACTACTCTGATGGCATCAGCGTGGATACATGTCATGAGACATTTGTCAACCCATGGAATATGAAACACCAAGAGTGAAACCTAAGTTGTGGTCTTGGAGTGACGTTAACAATTGATAAGCCCACACTGACACATGAAAAGTACCACTCTTGAGTGCGGTGTTGATCGTGGGGGAGGCAGAGAGCATGTGGGAACTCTCTGTACCTTCTGCTCAATTTTGCTGTGAGCCTAGAGCTGCTCTAAAAATAAAGTCTGCTGAAAAGGTGGGTAGGCTGTGTTGGTTGCATGCTGATACTGGATGTCCCCTAGAAGTTGATTTTAAATACTAAATATATCTTCTTTTAATCTGTGTTTCTTCTGAAAGCCCACTGGGCTGGTTCTGAATAGCTGAGTTTTGATTACTTGAGGTTTTACTTTAAATTGGAACAGTCTGAAGGCTCTATTGAGGCTGTGGTCCCAGAAAAGGCCTGGGACCTCCCTGGACCCTCCCTCTGTGTGCAGGACCACAGCGGGAGCTGCCTCACTCATGGTCCTCAGAGCGGATGACGCCAAGAGCTCTCCTAGTTCCCCCTCTGGACACAGTATTAAAGGACTTGAAGGTAACTTTAACAAACACATTAAGCTTCCACAGAAGTCATCTCTGACACTGCCGTCTTCCCTAGTTCATAAAGCATTTTTGGATCTAGCTTGTCACGGTTTGAGATTGTCAGAAATTCTACGTCTTGTAAACTAGTCAGAGAAGAAAGAACTTTTCTGATCGGTAAAAACACAGTTGCCAAGTCTTAATGTAAACACGCGTAGCTTTTCCCTATTTGCTTCAACAGAGGCAATAGAATGGAACAACTCCTGTGCTTATTGGAACAGCCAGGCGAAGCGACTTAACGACTCTTCTCTGAATAATCTGGGAGCAGTCAGGACTCTCATTAGCATGTAGATAAACTGCTGAAAGGTAGTTAGAAGCAGCGGTGATTGTATAAGAGTTAGGAAGATACTCAGATACTGAGAGTGAGAAGAAAAAACGTTTACTCAAGGTTACCAGGATCTGTAGCTGGTTGAACATACGCACTTTTAGTTCTTTTAAATCTTGCCCTAATAGGGGTCATATTTTAAAAAATGGTGGTCAGATTAATGATTCAAGTTATATTAAGCTCTCCTAGTGAAGAGCTATGTTTTAAAGGATAATATGATAGAAAAGACATTTCTTAGCTCACTGTATTTACATGAAATGAGATCTAGTTGTGCCACGTGACTGCAGCTGTGGTACGTGGCGGGTCTCCTCACACCAGAGACTTTATACCCACCCATCCATTTAAAGTTGGAAAAGTGGTGGGGTTTTTTTTTATTTTTATTTTTCACAGTAGTCTGTGGGTTAAAACCACTAGAAGAAGAGCTGCATTTGGGATTAAGGTCTGTTTGCTCTACAGCAGACCTTTTCAGTCTGTTCTGATGTCTCTTTATTGTGCTGCAAGCAATGTACTTGGAAGACAGACTGAGTGCCAGTGTCAGGCAGGGTCGTGGTAGAACCACCTTGGACAGGTGGGAATCATCTTCATTTTAAAAGGCTTTCAGAGAAGGGGCTTCAGCTTGACCATTTATTCCAGGGCCTCAGACAGCCCTAGCTGTGACTAATTCCAGTCACTGCTGCCTCAGTGTGGCCGTCCCAATTTGAAGTGCTTATTAAACAAGCTAATGAATTATTAATCTGTACTTTTGCTTATTCAGCATATTGTCTTGAATGCCCTCATGGTACTTCCAGAGAGTAGGTAGCAAATGTGAACTCAACTTGATGTTTGTAGACTAGGAACTGGGTACTGAGATGCTGGGGGACTCTGCCCAAGGTCTTTGAGCTCCACCTTGATGTCACCACTTGACCTCTGCCTGCCCCTCCCCATCAAGGAAGGCATGGTGAAGCATTCACTGCTTGAATTATGAAAAAGAAGTGAGCCAAACTTAACTACAAAGAGAGGACTCATGACCATTGTCATGTGGTCGTGGATTGTCACATGTTTCTTGACTTTTTTTTGGTAAACTTTAAAAAATTTCACACAATTAATATAATTCTGTAAAAATTCAAACACTACAAGGATCTCTGGAATAAGACTTGAAAGCCTCCATCCCCTCCATCCACGTAGCCCTCCTTTCTCAGAGACAACCGCTGTTATTCTCCAGACACATGTCTGCATGCATACGTGTGTACTCACGTGGAGACTTGTGGTTTTACAGAAATAGGGCAGGCTTTGTGAGGTGACCACACACCTGTGGAGCCCTGGCCAGGGAGAAAGGGTCCCTGGTGTTCACAGAGCCTGGGGCGGGTAACTGCTCTTGTCAGGGCTCAGACAGGGTCCTTGGCCTCACTGGCACCTTGCTGTCCCAGCTCCCTGTGCGTCCTGACGGCGGTGGTGGAGGTGTGCTCCGAGGCCCCAGGGGTGCGGGGTGGCAAGGACATAGGCTCTCCTCAAATCTCCACTCACAGGCTGACCTGGGTTCCCCCCCACCCCCGACTTTGGAGGGAAGTAATTCGGTTTTTTTAGTGGAGGTACTGGGGATTGAACCCAGGACCTTGTGCATGCTAGACATGCACTCTGCCACTGAGCTATAGCCTCCCCCTCTGACCTGGTTTTATGTTTATAAGGATAACAATATTTCTCCCAGGTGTTTGCTGCTGTGCTTATCAATTGCCATCCACTTGGAGTTTCTTCTAAGTCCTGCATTACTATTAGGATAACATCTCTCTTTGCTCACAGGATCCCTCCTAGCTGGAGGGTCACTGTTTTGAAGTGAGCACTTGGAGCACTGTATTCTTGTGCCATACACAAGACACCCTTACTTTGAATCTTCCAAACATTGCACATGACCATACTCCTACTGAAATTACCGTGTATAAAATACCGTGTGCCATGTTACCCTTTTGGGTAATCTGGAATGTCACTCAGGTGATTAATTTGTGCCACAGGACATTGGTGTTCTTGTGGAAGACCTAATCAGGAACTCAGTTACTTTATAGCCCTGACAATGAGACACCCAGCTTCAAATCTGCATTAATGTGCTACTGGTAGTAACTTCAGTTTGATTTCTGGCATTTTTCTTAAGGAAAATTCACTCTGGTAGCTGCTTATCCGAGGGTGGAATTGAGAATTCACCAGTGTATGTACAAGGGCCATGAGGTACTTTTCAATGTGATGTCACTTTTTTTTTAGTTTTGCAGAATATGGGTTTCTGATCAACACTAACTAATATACATAGTTATATCTCCTGCTCCATGTAGGTTTTAAGAACCCCAATATCAGAACTTAGGAAATGATTATTTTAGCTTTCCTGAGTCTTCAGATCAAGGTGTAAATCACAGTAAAACATCTTATGCAGGTTTCTTTGGTCATTTGGGCCTGAGGGTGGTTTTGCACACAGATCACCTGCCCTCAAGGCTGTAGTTCTTACCTGGGGAAGCTGGTGATGCCAAGACCCATGGGCAGTCAGCCTTGTAGTGGTCAGGATGACAGAGACTGCTTTTAAGCTGCTTCCTGGTTTCAGTGCTTTTTTGTCAGATCTGAAATAAAAATCCCCCAAAAGTTGTCCTTTAGAATCATGCTGAAAGCAGTGGCACCTCATTTGCTAGAACACACCTGTCATCTTTCACCTGTCTCAGTATGGCAGGGATGCCTTTAGTGCCTTAATCTAAACTCATCATCCCTGAGTGTTCTGTATGGGTCCCAGGGAGGGAGTGCCCTCTCTGTGGGTCAAGCCCTGAAACACCCAGGGAAGCCTCTGAAATTCTGTGAAGCAGCTTACGCTGTATGATTAGGCAGGTGGCTTTAATTAACTGCCTGCCACCTCAGCGGGAAATAAGGGGTCTCGACCAGGATGCAGGATCGGCAGGCTGTGTGTTCCACTGAGGCCTAGAAAATTGAACCGCTGTGTAATGTATTGGTCTTCGGCTGAGGAATTGCGGTCCGGAGGGGACTTCCTCTTTGTGATGACTCAGCCCTCCTGTTTCTGTAATTCTTCACTCCGGCTACTGCTCTCAGCGTGCCCCCAGCTGTCTTACAGCAGAGGCCAGGGAGGCTCTGAACCGGGCAGGTGCTCCCTTGGGACACGGGCTCTCTGGGTGCCTGGTTTTGTGCATCCCTGGAGCTGCAAGATATGCCAAGGAAGCTGGAACCCAGAAGTTGGTGGGGTTCAGAGCGGACCCTTCCCCAAAGAAACCGGACAGACCACGAATGCTGAGTGACCCGGTCTCTGTTATATCCCTGGAAACGAAAAAGCACAAACTCCAGTGGCCCCAGAGATCTCTGATGCAACCAGATCCCAGCTCTGCCCGGGCTTTCTAGCAAAGCAGAGTTAAAGAAGAAGGGAAACTGGCTTTTCTGCCCACTCCCCCCTACCCCCGAGCGCCGCTCCGGTCGCACTGCGCTCGCTCCGAGCTCCAGCTAAGCTAGCACCGCCGTCATCTCCCTCCAGCTGCCATCATGATCATCTACCGGGACCTCATCAGCCATGATGAGATGTTCCCCGACATCTACAAGATCCGGGAGGTGGAGGGGAAGATGGTCAGTAGGACAGAGGGTAACACTGACGACTCGCTCATTGGTGGAAATGCCTCCGCTGAAGGCCCCGAGGGCAAAGGCACCAAAAGCACAGTTATCACTGGTGTCGATATTGTCATGAACCAGCACTTGCAGGAAACCAGCTTCACAAAAGAAGCCTACAAGAAGTACATCAGAGATTACTTGAAGCCAATCAAAGGGAAACTTGAAGGACAGAAACCAGAAAGAGTAAAACCTTTTATGACAGGGGCTGCAGAACAGTCAAGCACATCCTTGCTAATTTCAGAAACTATCAGTTCTTTATTGGTGAAAACATGAGTCCAGATGGCATGGCGGCTTTGCTGGATGACCGTGAGGACGATGTGACCCCATATATGATTTTCTTTAAGGATGGTTTACAAATGGGAGAATGCTAACAAATTTGGCTGTTACTTCGGCTCTATCACCTGTCGTCATAACTGGCTGGCTGCTGCTTTCATCCACACAACACCAGGACTTAAAAGACAAATGGAACTGATGCCATCTTGAGCTTCATTTATTTTGATGGTGATTTGCTTGGAGTGGAGGCATTGTTTTTGAGAAAAAAACATGTGTAGGTTGTCTGAAGATAAAATGCATTTAAATTCATCTGAGAGAATGCCTCTTAGTTTAATACATATCTAACTCCATCCTGTGTAGTGTTCCTGGAGAAGCTAGACCCCGGTGTTAGACCACTGCTAGAAAGCACAAAACTGTCTTCAGATAACTTCTGCAGTGAAAACTACTTCGGGGCTTGGAAATACAAACAAGAATCAAAAGTGATTGAGTTGAGGTAAAGGGAAAGACCATGCTCATAGCAGTGCCAGCACTTGAAGTGGATTCCTTACACATTCGTCACCTACAAACGGAAGTAGTTAACTCTGGAAGAGATTACTTAAAGAATAAAAAGAGACTAATGCAGTTGGGGAAAAAAAGAGGGAAACTGGCATATATTGAACTGTTACTAGCACCAAGTGTTTTTCCTGCATGGTCTTACTTAATTTGTGTGCCATGTTTTGAAGTTTATCTTAATTTTACAAGTGATGGAGCCAGTATTCATTTATTCGTGACACTGAAAATTTCCTTTTATTGGACTACATGTATATGCCTAATTGTGGCAGTGAAAAAACATGAACTAAATCAGCAAATACAATATTATAGTTCAGAAAAGGAAAGCAGTAATGAATGAATACTTTTAAGTCACATCAGTCTTTTTTTTTTTTTTGCAACAAAGAAAAGCAACACATCTAAAAACACTTGCAGAAGAGTGGGCCACGAGGTTCAGAGTCTGACTGGCACGTGGAATGATGGCATTGAGGTCACTCAACCTGGAGCTTGTGTTTAAAACTAGATCTTATATCGAAGTCCATCAGTATACAGGAAGGCTTGTTAATAGAATTGTAGGATCATACTTTTGGAGCCGTGATCCTTGAGATTTAGAAGGGGCTGAGACCCAGAATGACTGATGCCTAAAGGGGAAGTCGGGGAAGAACCCAGTGGGTTCAGTGGTGTCCAGCATGGTTCCTGGGAAGAATTTATGGTGAGTGAGTCACAGTGTAATGGAAATTCTTTATCCTTGGCATGTCAACCTTGAGCTAGGACACCTTGGCATGTTTGTTTTTTGGAGCTGTTTTCACTTTGTGTGTAGATGTGGTGGTGGGAGGGAGGGGAGGGGATTAGGAAGAACAGTAAGGCAAAAGCAAAACTGAACCCTGGAATAAAAAGGAAGCCAAGGTCTCTCTGAATCACATCCAAGGAAGGGCCAGAAGCTTGTTTTATGAGATGGCATCAGAGGCAGGCATCCAGGGGTCAGAGGTAGGCTCCTGAAAGCTGGGCGTGAAAAACTCCTTGTAAAATTGATGCACATGTTTGCTATTGGCTGTGAGCCTTTGAGGGGCAGAGGCCAGGCCTTGTGTATTCATGTATCGGAGCACCTGAAGGCAGAGGCGTGCAGGGGACAGGTGGTGTAGACAGAGCTGTAGTATCTATCTCTGGTTATGTGCTATGGCTTCTTCTACCCTGCTTCCCTCCCACCCCCCTTCCCCCCCTTCAATGTTGGTAACCATTTCTGCCCCTTGTCTGCCTCACAGGATCCTAGGATTTGGCAACATATTTACTGAACTCCTTAGGAAACAGATGCCTAAGTATTTTGTGTTTATGTGTGAGTGTGCCAGGTATGGAAGAGAGATAAGGATAGAGTAGGGTCTTTTCTAAAGAAATTTCTGACCCTGTGGGGGAGATTAAATCCATAAATATAAGATTATGTGCAAAGTGCTGTGACGGAGGCCTGCACAGGACTCTGATGAAAGGTAATCTTGATGAATCATGTCAGGGAAGGAAGGCTTCCTGGAGGAGGAGACCGTTAGAGACTTAGAGGACAAGGTAACTAGGCAGAAAAGGGAAAGTTATCTTGGGCAGTGGGAATGGTATGTACAGAAATGAGAAAGCTGTGTGCTTTCAAGGAAGCAACAATGGTCCAAAATGTCTGGAATTTCGGAGGTGGGGGCAACCAGTGAGGTGAGTGAGGTTGCTAGGAGCTACCTAAGATGTTTGATTTTTACCTGAAGCAGTGGGGAGCCATAAGTGGTCTTTAATTTCATCACTAGGATGTACAGTCCATGAGCATGGGGACAATGTCTGGTTGACAGCTGTATCCTCAGGACCTAGAATGGTGCCTGGCTCATAGTAGTTGCTCAGGGAAGACACTGAATGAACTTCACTAACTTTGTGTATTAAATAGACCCACGAGCCCTGTGGTAGGTTGGAGGTATTAGCAGGAGTGCTAATCGGCAGGTCACTGCAGTAGTTCGGATGACTCAGGAGAAGGCAGTAGTGATGATTAGAGGAGAAACCTGCTTTGAGAGGGGTTCCAGGAAGATTGACAGACTCACTGGATGTGGCAGGTGCAGGGAAAGAACTGAGGATGCCTCCCAGGGTTCCAACTTGGACACTTAAAGGAGGGAGCCCAGTCTGGGGAAGAAGAGGGGAGGCGGGGAAGGTGAGTTCTTTTAGGGGCACGTTGGGTTGAGAAGTCTGTGGGTAGCTGATGGTACTGACCTGCAGGCCTTTAGACATACAGTCCTACAGCTCAAGGAGCCATGCCAGGCTTGAAAATAGGGATTTAGGGTTTCATTAGGGATCAGGTAGAAGTGGAAACTGTCTATAAGCTGTTCTTCCCTGAGTCTCTAGAAGGAGACAGGGTGGCAGCCCCCAGTGGAACCCTGTGAAGTGGTGACTGATGCTTGAGGGGCAGGAGGAGCACAAGGGCAGGGGACTGAGGGGGTCGTAGATCCGGCTCTGGTTCAAAAACAAAGTACAGAATTACGTGAAGTAAAGATTCTGCCTCTGCCTCTCCCTCCTTATACCCTCCCCAGAAGGAGCTGCAGAAGACGTTTCGTTCTAATCCTTGCAGCTGTTTTCTGTGCCCAAACAAGCCTAAATATGAGTGCTGCTTATTTGTACCCAGTTGGATTTCACTTTTATAACATCCCCTTGTGTTCTAAGAGTCTGTGACTCACATAGAAAAACACTTAAAAAGATCCCATAAAAATACAGGTTGAGTCTTATGGCTGAGTTAATTCAGATTTAACAGCCCTGGGTGAAAATTACAGAATGTTTAAAGTGTTGTCTGACAAGCAACATCTGGATGCCTTGGGGGCATTTGTGCTTCTTCACTGAACGCATGAGAGGACACAGGGTGGAGAGCGCAGCCCTGCCCTCTGCTCCCCGGTTCCCTCCCACCTGCTGCCTGTGTTGTGGTGCGTGGTTCACTGATGTTGCCGGGCACCCCGTCTCCTGGCTGCGCTGAGCTGAAGCCGGCCTGTGCAGCAGGACTCCAGAGACAGCGAGGTCACCTGATGGCAGGCTCTGGGTTTGCTGGTTTCTAGCCACGTGCATCCCCTTTAAGAGAAGGGCTTTCCAGAGTCCTTCCTGGCTGATGAGACTGCCATTCACTGGCTTTGTGACCTTGCACAGGTGACTTCCCTACTCCGGGCTTCGGTTTTCCCATCTCTAAAGTGAGAAGCTTGGACTGAGATCTCTAAGACTGTGTCTGGCACGGCGTTCCACGATGGCTGGCCCATCCCCCTGCTCTGGATTAGACTGAGTGAAGGTAGAGCATGAAAGCGGACTGAAAAATGGCCTCGTGCTGTGTAGTTTGCCCTCGGTAAACCATAAGCTGAGCCACGGTTTTACATCGCCTTTTCTGCCTTCTAGGGAAGTGGTATGGTAATTTGTATATTGGGAAGGGCTGTCCCTTTAATTTAAAAAACAAAGAGAAAGTTTTTTTAAAAAATGAAAAGAGCCATGCGGAAGGTGTTTTGAAGTGTGTCGGGTTTTTGGTAAATGGTTTCTTCCATCAATGTCACAGGCACCAGTGAAGGCCAGTGATGCACCACGTCTGCAGATTTAATTAGAATGGCTTTTGAGTTTTTAAAACACCACTTTGATGGAAAACCATCCTTTCTTTCTTTCTTTTTTTTTTTTTTCCTGATAATGCCTCACTATCCTTCAAATGACCTTTTTTTCCTTGTTTGCAGAAATCTTTTCCTGGGGCCTCCAGTGTTAAATTCCACCTCTTAGGACTCTCGGTAAAGCCGGTTGGATAATCTTTTTAGAGATTTCGTTGTTGTAGAATACATTTTTTCAAACGAATGGAAAAATACACTTTTTATGATGAATGAAATCCATTTTGAAAGCTCTTCCCATCAGCATTTTTAATTTAAATACCTCACTTTTGGGGATGATCCTAAGGGATTGCTGCTCTTAAAACTTTTAAAGACACCTGAGAAGTAGGTTACTTTGTAGTCATTCTAAATTTTGCATCCTGGCGGGAGCTTCAACTTCCCTCTGTGCTGAGAGAGATGTGAAAATTCTAGGCAAGGGAAACTTTCTCCTGCAGGGAGGTGCCTAATTGCTGCCTCTCCTGCAGTTCCCTGTTTTTAAGTTAACTAGTAGATCAGTTGAAAGTAAGCACTGAGCCTTGATGTGTCCCTGACACTCTGAGAGATTTGAAGAAGTGTGGGCATGAGTCCTGCTGCCAGAAACTTTACCTGGTACTTGGACTCAACCAGCCCATGTGTGGGATGTGATTTGGGGTAGATGGGTCTTTATCCTCTAAAGGTCTGGTGGATGTGTGTGGGGTTTGTTTGGATGAACTGCGTGCAACTGTTAGGTTCTGTCTAGGTGGGCAAAGGGCCTGGGGAATTTGTAATCCACACACTTCTTCCTGTAGAGACCCTTGTTGGTTGGAATGCCAGCGTCTCCCTTCATCCCAAGCAGAGCTTACGTGTCCCTGAAGAATGTGTTTCTTTTCCTCTAAGGTCTCCTGAGGGTTGTTTCCAGGTGTATTTGCTACCATTCTGCACTCATGCAGCTCATGGAGAGCATCTTCTAGAAACCTCTCATATTTTCCATGTAAGTCCTGTTTCCAGATGGGAGCGTGAAACGTGAGTGTCACAAAGGCCCGGGTTCCCATCGCAGCTGTGTGTTGCGTCAGCTTCCTCACTGTAAACCAAAGACTTTGGATGAGAGGGTGATAGTGTGGTCCGGCTGGAGGACTGTTTCCTGAGTGCCTCTGTGTGCTCAGCCCTAAGCGAGACCCTAGTGGGAGCCATGGCAGGGCAGAAGGTGCCGTGCGGGTCACCTGAGCCTCCAGGCGCACGCACAGGGGGCAGTGAGGGGGCCAGGGCTGCCCGCAGCCTCTCTGGTGCATATTAAGCTCGGATTTTACCTTGTGTGCTTCCTGTGGTGCCTATCAGAAAAGGATCTTCCTGTCTCCGCTTACAGAGACTTTCAAAGAAGACCTTCAGGGGTTTTGTGGATCTGGTGCTAATGTTACAGAATTCTTATTCCTAGCCTTCATGTATCCAGATGAATACCGATATAATTAGTCACATAGAATCCTTATCCCCGAATGGGTCAGCCATTCCATCCCCCCTTCCCAGGGCTGATGTCAGCCAGGTCCTGCAGAAGGCCGTGGTGCTGAGCCCGTGGGATTCGCACACTGCTGCAGGGTAGGTCTTGTCTCAGGAACCCATGGCTGCTTCCTGAATCCCACCTCTTGGCTCTACTCCTGCCCTCCAGGGTTAGAGAGAATGCCTGTCGTGTTCTACACAACAGCTCTTCAGATGCTTTTAAGACAGAAAACAGCCTTCCCAAAGCCCCTCCAAGCTGCAGATAAATATGTCCACTCCCCTCCACTGTTACTCACTGAGCAGTATTTCCTACCTTCTCCTTCCTATGAGTACTCGCTGGTTTGCCA